TGCCCAACTCAAGATATATTAAAACTCTTCACATTTGAATTACTCTATACAGGCTGATGCGGTGGCTTGTGCCTGTAATCCTAGCACTTCGGGAAGCCAAAGTGGGAAGATCACTGGAGGCCAGGAGTTTGAGATCGCGCTGACCAACACAAGGAGATCTCTTCTTTACACAAAAATAAAAAATCCACTGCATATAACAGGCACACTTGAAATCCAGTAGTTACTTGGGAGGCTGAGCTGGGAAGGACTGCTTGAGCCCTAGGGTTTTGAGGCTGCAGTGAGCATAATCATGCCACTGCACTCAAAGTGTAGGCAGCAGAGCAAGACATACATCTCAAAGTAGAGTAAGCAAGAAATTAAATAAATAAATAGAAGATAAATTGCTTTCATACATAGATGAGAAAATGCCAGAGGGTCACACTATTTTACTATCTGTGATTTCCCGCAATGTTCAACACACTCCCAAAAACATTGTTAGATTAATTAAAAGTAAGGCTATTTCTGTAGACCACTAGTGTTCTCAAGATTCGGTTCACAGACCAGCGCCTCGAGCATTACATGTGTCGCCAGAAATGCAAACTTTCGATAGTGGTTTCATTGGTCTATTATATTCCAGCACTCTCGGGGCTGAGGCTGGGAGGTCACTGGAGCCAGGTAGTTGAGGCCAAGCCTAGGCATACATGGGCCGAAACCCCACCTCCTACAAAAATATAAAATTAGCCCGGGTGTGGATGGTGGGCATCCTGCGGTCCCAGCGTTACGTGGGAGCTGAGGTGAGAGGATCGCGTTGAGCCTGGGAAGTAAGGGGCTGCAGTGAGCTGTGATGCATGCCAACTGCACCCAGCTTAGGGACAGAGCAGACCGCTGCCTCAAAAAAAAAAAGAACGCAAACATTTACAGGCCCCTGCCTCGAGTTTCATGAACCTCTGCCTCCCGGGTTCAAGTGATTCTCACCAGCTCCCGCGGTAGGCTGGGAATTACAGGCATAGTGCCACTGACCTTCAGGCTAATTTTTGTTATTTTTAGTAGATGCACGAGTTTTGCCATGTTGGCCGAGGCTGGTCTTCGACTCGTGACCTCACGGGATCTGGCGCTGCCTTGGGCCTCCCAAAGTGTGAGGCCATCACCGCCCATATCAAGAATTCATCTTAAACAAATCTCAATGACTTAGTTCTAATGCAACTCCTAATTAAACATTTGAACAAAATGGCCGGGTGCAACCAGCCTGGGCGACAGAGACGAGCACGTCCATTTAAAAAGAAAAGCAAAAAAAAAAAAAAATTAACAAATATAAAATACAAAGCTTTATAATAACCATTCATTCAACTGTATTTATTATCTACGAAAAATACTGCACTAGGAAAAGTAGCCTCTACTGATAATTCCTAGCTCAAAATAAGCTAATATTTTGCCTTCTCCTCACGTCTCCCATACATACACTGTTACTCTGTGTGTACATATTTTAACCATCAAGGAAAAATCAAGTTAATTAGATGCAAAGTTTAAAACATAATCATGCCTAATATGTCTGCTGTGGTCTGAATGTTTCTGTCTCCCTAAATTCATATGTTGGAATCCTAATTCCCAAGGTAATGGTATGAGGAGGTGGGGCCTTTGGGAGGTGATTACATCACCAGTGTAGTGCCCACATGAATGGGATTAGTGCCCTTATAAAAGAGGCCCCAGAGAGCCACCTGGCCCCTGCCACCACGTGTGAAAACAGTGAAAAGGTGACTCAGGAACAGCCCTCAGGAAACACCAAATCCGCTGGGGAACTGATTTTGGACTTCCCAGCTTTCCGAACTCTGAGAAATAAATTTCTGTTGTTGACAAGCTACCTAGTTTATGGTATTTTGTTACAGTAGATTGAATGGGCTAAGACAATATCTTGCTTGCCTCATTTCCTACTACACATCTTCATTCTTGCATCCTTCCATGCTATATAATGGTAATACTACCTCCTACAATGCATCCTCATTCCTTCCTACTTTCTTTCTTTAAAAAAAAAAAAAATCCCTGTGAGGGCATCCTTTCTACCTGCTACTCATATTCATGAGGCATTCTTCCCCTTTCCAAAATGATCTATAAAAACCCTATTCAACTTTCAGGCCCAGCTAAAAGGACACTTTTGAATCCTAAATACCTCAAGCGGAGTACATAACTCCTCCCTCTTATACATTCATTCTCAATGGAAGGGCCCACACTTTGAAAAATCTAGCAATGTGATGTCTTAGGTAGGATGGCTCTTTATTCTGAAAAGTATATCATCATACCTCACTCAATATCATTTTTGCACCAAAATTAAGATTCTCTGCCCAGGCGTGATGGCTCATGCCTGTAATTCTAGCACTTTGGGAGGCCAAGGTGGGAGGATGGCTTAAATCCAGGAGGTCAAGACCAGACTGGGCAACACGGCGAGACTCCATTTCTACAAAAAGTTTTACAAATTAGTGGGGCATGGTAGTCCGTGCCTGTGGTACCAGCTACTTGTGAGGCTAAGGTGAGAAGATTGCTTGAGCCCAGGAGTTCAAGGCTGCAAAGAGCCATGATTGTGCCACTGCACTCCAGCCTGGGCCACAGAGCAAGATCATCTCCAAACAACGATTCTCAGACTCACTCTTTCTGTGTAATCCACTAGCTACCTCAAATTTCAATTTAAGTTTATACTAGTCAGGTGGGAAATGAGACCATAAAGTGAATCATTCAAGCACCTAGCTGGCCTGGGCACTTGGAATAATAAGTAAGGCACGGTTGCTACCTAGAACTTACATTCCACAGGGAGAAACAGGTTAGCATACAATAACGGTGTGTGAAAGTGAAGGAGACAGACACAGGGAAATGACAGACTAAAAATGCAGGAGCGAGTTAGGGAAAATTCATAGATTAAATAATTTAATAGTACATCACTTTTCTAAAAAACAGATGGAGGGAAAAAAAGAAACTGACTAACCTCCTAGGGGAACATAATTATCAGGACTTAGTTGTGCCTTATTCCTCCCAGAGACCAAAATTTAGCTTGTTGCATATGTTGGAGCAATGTTTTCAATAAATGTACAGCAAACCACTTATAACCCAACTCAATGAAAAAATCCAACTGAAGCCTCAACCTATTTTCAAACAGAAAGAAAATTTGCAAATATAAGGTTCTCCCAACTAAAGGCAGACAGAGCAAAACAAATGAACTCTTTAGAAGGTTTAAAGAGACAGTCACAACCTGCCAAGCTGATTGTCAGTCTTCAAATGCCCTTGGTCTCTGCCTCCAAATGAAAACAAATCATTTAAGTAATAATAGTCAAGTCTGTAAACAAGTATTTTTAAATTTCTCCAGCTGTACCTCCACATTAAAAGATGCTCCAAAAAAAAAAAAAAAAAGAAACTCAAAACATTTTTTAGCTATTTCTGTCAAAAGACTAGATCTCTCCTGAGGTCACAGTATGCATGCTGGCCCTCACTTCATTGCTCTGTAACACACCACCACTCCGGTTTTGCAATGACACTAGTTAATAGGCTTCCAGGATCTCTTCAACGCCTCCAAAAACGAAAAGGAAGAAGCAAGCCTACAAATCCCTATCTGCCCGACCTACAGCTCCCGGGAAGCAACAGTCCTCAAATTGTTACTGCTTAGACCCCTGAAGCCCGTAGAAGGAAATGGGGACAGCTGCGAAAGCGAACCGAGCGAGGACATCCGATAAGGGAAGAGGAAACGTGGATGGGAGAGGACGAAGGGGAGAAGGAACACGGAGAGGAGGGGGCAGTGGAGATAAAATGGTGAAGAGGGGTGAGAAGAGCAAGGAAGAGCAGCGAAAAATAGGGAGGAAAGGGGGGGGAAGTAAAATTCACATAAGGGAAAAAAAGGCAAAATGATAGAGGAGAAAGGAGGGAAGGGTTAGGGTTAAAGGACAAGGAGTGGGCGACAAAAGGAATGCGAAAAAGGCTGTCACTGGGAGTGATAAAAAGGATGTCATCGGGGAGAAGGGAGATACAGTGGATGTCACCTAAAGGGGTTCACCCCAGCAGGTGAATGGGGGAGCACGGGCAAGGAGGAGCTGGACACCGAGGGGGCGGTAACGAGGGAAAGAGGTAAAGGCAGGGAGCCCAAGGGGACACCAGAGACAAGGAGGGGCAAGCCCGCAGGGGCTAGCGCGGCGGGCGGGGGCTAGGGTGGCGGGCGGCTGCGGCTAGGGCAGGCCTTGCTCCCTCACCATGGCTGCGCCGGCCTGGTCCTCGGGCATGCAGCCTCCGTCCTGGGTGCGGCGGCGGGCCGGACCGGAGCCCGCCCCCAGGCTGAGCCGGCGCGGAGGCTCCAGGAGGCTCCGGCGAGCGGCCGCTCCGGGCTTGGCCCAGGCCTCGGCCTCCTTCCCTTAAGCTAGAAGTGTAGCTGTAGCAGCAGCAGCCGCAGCCGCAGCCGCAGCCGCAGCCCGAACCCGAGCGCAGACTCCGCCCCCGCGAGGACCCGCCCGGGCGCGCGAGCCCGCGCTTGGCCCCGCCTCCGCTCTCAATGCGCAGACTCAGCCGAGGGCTCCCGCCCCCCCAGCCCGACCTGTAGTTTCTCCCCCTCCCAGACCCTTAAAGGAGCAACACACCCCCAAATCCTAACCTCCCTTCAAAATATGAAGAGCTTTAAATATTATATTATGACAAGAGATTAGAGCACCGCTCGCTTAGGTCGCCCATAGACCCCTCTGTCACTCATCATCATTCTTTAAGATTTGGGCTTCTGGTTCACTGTCATTCATTACTACTATTGTCAAAATTCTTGGTGATTTCAAAATTCGCTTAATTCTTCCAATTCCCTCTGGCCTCTCAGATTCTGTTTCTCTAGGGATCATTCTTGGCTCAGCCTCTCACCTCTCATGCTCATACGAATAATTGTAACTTCTCTACAATCTAATATTTAATTCTCTAACTTCCCATCGCAACCTTTTTTCTTTTCTTTTTTTTTTCTTTTTTTTTTTAGTTTTTTTTTTTTTTTTTTTTTGAGATGGAAGTTCGTTCTTTGGTTTGCCCAGTGCTTGTGAGTGCCAGTGGTGCGCGATCTCGGCGCCTCTACTGCTCACCTCCATCCTCTCCGGGTTCAATGTGATTTCTCCGTTGCCTCAGCCTCCCGAGTATGCTGGGCATTAACAAACACCCGCTCTCTCTTATATCTCTCTTATAAAGCCTGGGCCCTTAATTTTTGTATTTATTAATAGAGGCGGGGGTTTTCACCATGTTGGCCAGGGGCTGGCGGTCTCGAAACTCCCGACCTTCAGGGGTGATTCACCTGCTCGGCACTCCAAAGTGCTGGATTACAGTTGTGAGCGGCTGTGCCCTGTTTGTGGGTTTTGGCCATCAACTCTGCTGTCTCCTTCTCTAGCCCTCACTTTCCCTCTGGATAATGACTCTCGCAATCTCTCAATATAACTTCAACTCCAAGACTCCTAGTGAATCCTTGTGATTGAATTCCCTCGTTGGTTAACTACGCTCCTGTCGCTATGTTTTGCTCGCGTGCTCCTGTCCGTCTCGTGTCACTTGGTGGGGTTTGGCTGGCAGTTGGCTGTACTGACTTTCCTTCCTGAAGACAGCTTAGATTTCTTATTGTTCCATCATGACAATGGAATTCTAAGTAGCAATCTAAGGCTGTGTTTGGCGGGGTTACATGACCGGTACATGAAGTCGGATTTTCTTGTTCAGTATTACCTTTCATGTCTCTAGTCGTCTTCTGCTTGTCTTCTGTACTGGCACGGAACTCCAGCAATGGTGCAGTGGGGTGGAGCAAAAAGCCAAAAGTGGCTGACTGACTCCCCGGATAAAATTTTGATGATGCATTATTGTCAAGGGCGGCGGGGCATAATGCATAAGCTACGCCTACCACGATTTTCCTCCGGGAGTTTCACACACGTCTCGGCCACCTTGCCTACATAAGACTCATTTTTCGTTTTTTTTTTTGTTTGAGGACAGATTGTCGCGTCTGGTCGCCGCAGGCTGGCCAGTGCCGAGGGGCCCCAGATCTCGCAGCTCACTGGCCAAGCGTCCGCCTGCCCGGGTCTACGCCATTCTTCCGCCTCAAGGCCTCCCGGAGTAGCTGGACTTTACAGGGCGCCCGCCACCTCACCCGGCTAGTTTTTTGTATTTTTTTAGTAGAGACGGGGGTTTCACCGTATTAGCCAGGCTGGTCTCGATCTCCTGACCTTTGTGATCGCCAGTCTCGGGCCTCCCAAAGTGCTGGGATTACAGCTTGAGCACCGCGCCCGGCCGCTACATGACTATTTCAAGTCTCCTGTCTCTTCAAACCTCCAACACTTCCTCCCTCATCCTCATTTAGCTGATGATTTTGCTTCCAATTCATGAGAAAATCAAACAAACCAAAAAGAACATCTACAAGTTCCCAGCACCCACCATGACTTCCAACTAACCTGTAACTCTGCTTTGATACTCTCTCTGCCTTCCTTTCCTTACTGCAAGCGAATTATTTGTCTTTTAGCTAATGTCAAATCCTCCTCAGTTCTCAAGCATCTGTGCTAAAAGACCCAGGTTTTATCCCCAATCACAAAACTAAATTTCTGTAAAATTAATTACTAGAAAAAAATAAAATTTAAAAACAAGCATCCAAAATGCAAGCCCAGACTTTTTAAAACCTGCTTAACCATTTTAAAGTGTATAGCTCAGTGGTATTAAATACATTCACATTGTTGTACAACCATCCCCATCAAGAACTCCAGAACTTATTTTTCTTTTATTTATTTATTTTTTGAGACAAGGTCTTACCGTGTCACCCATCAGGAGTACAGTGGCACAATCACGGCTCACTCAACCTCAAACTCCTGGGCTGAAGTAATCCTCCCACCTCAGCCTCCTAAGCAGCTAGGACTACAGGCACGTACCACCATGCCTGGCTAGTTATTTATTTATTTATTTATTGCAGAGACAAGGCTGAAAGCTTGTACTCATTAAACAATAACTCCCCATTCCTAACTTCCCCCAATCCCCGGCCATCACTGTTCTGCTTTCTGTCTCTATTAATTTGACTATGCTAGGCAGAATTTTTATTATTAAATCCAGCACACATAAAATTTTTCTGTCAAATTGTTATAAAAGTTTCAAAATATTAATTCTGAATTGCTGTCACAAACTGGTGACAAACTATTTCTAGATGGTCACTAGTCCACTGATCATACTTTGAGAAGCTCAAGTACTAGGTCTCATACCACATCACTTTCTCAGAGACACCTGTCCAGCAATTCTTCCTCTCGCCTACATCACTATTTTTCTGCTATTACCTCTCATTGCTATAGCAACATGAATTTATTTCTTCCATCTTAAAACAATCAAACAAAAATCCCTCCCTTAGGTTGCAGTGAGCCGAGATTGCGCCACTGCACTCTAGCCTGGGCAACAGAGCGAGACTCCATCTCAAAAAAAAACCCTCTCTTGACTGGACTTGACCCCCTACCCACTGCCCCATTTCTCCATTCTCTTTTCTGCAAAATGCCTCACAAAGGTGGCTTGTACATAGTCTCACTCTGTTGCTCAGACTGGAGTGCAGTGGTGCAATCTCAGCTCACTACAACCTCCGCCTCCTGGGTTCAAGCAATCCTCCCACTTCAGCCTCCCAAGTAGCTGAGACTACAGGCGTGTGCCACCATGTCCAACTAATTTTTGTATTTTTTGTAAAGATAGGGTTTCATCATGTTGCCTAGGCTGGTCTCGAACTCCTGAGCTCAAGCAATCTGCCTGCCTCAGTCTCCCAAAATGCTGAGATTACAGGCATGAGCCACCTCGCCTGGCCTTGACATCCTTTTTCTCATTTTCGGTGAGATCCTCTCTGGTTAAGCTTTTACCTCCTCCACTCCACTGAAATGCTCTTGTCAAGGTCACTAGTGGTGTCCATTTGCTGACACCAGTCAATTCTCAGTCCTCGTGTTACTTGACCTACCAACATCGCTAAACACAGCTCATTACTTCCCCCTCCTTGGCTACCACGACATTCCACCCCCTTGGGTCTTCCATCTCACTGGCTGCTCCTAGTTTCTCCTCATTTCTCTGACCTCTAAATACTGTAGTACCCCAAGGCTCAATATTTAGACTTTTTCTCTTTTCCATGTACACTCCTTCATAATCTTATCCCATCACGTTACTTTAAATATTATCTATGCTGTGATAACTCCAAAATTATATCTCTATTCTGAATTTCATACTTACATATCTAAATGCCAGCTAAACATCTCCCCTTATATGTCTAATAAGCTACAATTTTTCTTAGTAGTTACTCAATAGATTTCCCCTCAAGTAACACGGATAAGCCAATAAATACCAAAGAGAATACGACCGCCAATATTAGCTTAGACCAATCACGATTTACTCTCCGTCTGATCTGTGAGTTACTTTCCCTAAGGACTTGCTTGTAGTGGAGGAAAATCATCATTAAAAATTAGAGTTCTAGGCTGGGTACAGTGGCTCAGGCCTGTAATCCCAGCAATTTAGGAGGCCGAGGCGGGTGGATCATGAGGTCAGGAGATGGAGACCAGCCTGGCCAACATGGTGAATCTCCATCTCTACTAAAAATACAAAAGAAATTAGCCAAGTGTAGTGGCACACACCTGTAGTCCCAGCTACTTGGGAGGCTGAGGCAGAAGAATCGCTTGAACCTGGCAAGCAGAAGTTGCAGTGAGCCGAGATCACTCCACTGCACTCCAACCTGGACGACAGAGAGAGACTCCTTCTCCAAAAAAAAAAAAAAAAAATAGAGTTCTAGCCAGCCAAGGTGGTTGACACTTGTAATCCCAGCACTTTGGGAGGCCAAGGCAGATAGACGGTTTGAGACCAAGAGTTTGAGACTAGCCTGGGCAAGATGGCAAAATTCCATCTCTACAAAAAAAAATACCAAAAAGTAGCTGGGCATGGTGGTAGTTTCGGCTACTCAAGAGACTGAGGCAGGAGAATTGCTTGAGTCCAGGAGATCAAGGCTGCACTGAGCCAAGATCGAGCCACTGCACTCCAGCCTGGGTGACAGAGTGAGACTCCATCTCAAAATAAATAAATAAATAAATAAATAAGTACAAAACAAAACCAAGATGCCATGACAGAAAAGACTGATAAATTCAGCTATGTAGAAAAAGGTGGAATTATATTTGGTGTTAGAATAACTGGATAGACATCTAGAAAATTTTAACTTGGATTTACACTTCACGCTATTCACCAAGACAAATTTCAAATATATCAAAGATTAAAATGTAAAAAAGAAGGCCAGGCATGGTGGCTCACGCCTGTAATTCCAGCACTTTGGGAGGCCTAGGCAGGCAGATCACTTAAAGTCAGGATTTCGAGACCACCCTGGCAAAGATGGTGAAACCCCATCTCTACTAAAAATACAAAATTAGGCAGGGCGCAGTGGCTCCCAGCACTTTGGAAGGTCAAGGCGGGTGAATCACAAGGTCAGGAGTTCAAGACCAGCCTGACC